GTTTACAAAAATCCCCACTCGGTGCCGCTCAGACATGCCAATGAACGCAACAGTTGTTCTTTTTATCCGGGGTTTCCTAAATGTTATCGGGTACCAATCTCTTAACATTTGCCGTTTGTGGCAGATGAAAGTGATAGCCACTGTGCCATGTGAACATTATCAGGCGACACGCAGACAGATGAGAATGCCTGTTACCTTTACATCTGATACTGAGCACACACACAACACACAACATGGCTTTGCTACAAAAAAACTACCTACCCTGTTTTTTCTGGTGATTCTATCAGCAGCAGGTTGCTTAGCAAAAAAGCAGAAATATTGTGATCCAAATGGCCGTAATGTGTCTCCATACAACAAGGCTATTGTGCGATATAGCAATTGAGTGACATTTCGTGGGTACTCAGGCTACAGTGACTGCGTTTCCACTTGCAAATTACCGCAATGTGCTAAAGTAGGACTGAAACGTCGCGCAGACCTGCCGGTCTATTCAGCAAATGTTCCGGTGAGGTAATTCTAGAGCGAGTTGCTTTTTTGGATCGCAGCTGTGAAAGGAAGGATGTTTAAATGAGCGTCAGTGTGCTACTTTGCGCTGTGTTTGCAGCATCCATCGGACACAATGGCCGTTTATATGACTCTCAATATTAATGAATAATTATATAATTGCTGACTAATGCTGCTATTGATAATGATGATATGTAACAGCAGTTATACAACCAATAAAAATGTACTTACTGTTCGCAACAGGTGGGATACATCACTCACTTTTAAGATTGGTAAAAATGGAAAATCTTTGAATTAGTATGTGCTTGCCATACAGATTTTACAACGTGATGAATCATGCACTTCTGTGAATCGTCAGTGGACATTTCACCAAATGTGTGACCTTTATGTCTCACTAGCCTAGCCATCTGGCAGAGCCAGAAATATTTTCTGTTTTTATTAATGCAGGGTGCCACCTGAACAGTTGAAGTGGCAAATGTAATGGGCCGGCAATGTACAAAGGGAAGCTTTTTCACGTGAACCAAAATAACATTAAAATTTGATTTAAAGCTTTCGTGACTGCAGGGATTCATATTCTTGGTTCTTTCGGTAAAGTCACGTGACTTTACCGAAAGAACCAAGAATACAAAATAGCATTAACAAAACAAAAAAATGCATTGTGTATTTAATTGCTTATTCAACACAATTGTAAGTATCATAAATCCCTAAATAAATGTTTTTTTAATAGTGTATGATTCACATAAGATTACAATTGTTCAAGGCCTATCTGGAGACCATAATCCCTAAACTGCAAGCATGTCTAAGACTCGATCCCGGTATTAACCGAAGCATTTAAGATGTAAATATTATTTTAAATAATACAACATTTAATTAAGTATCACATTTTTATTTCAGGTATGACCACCAGGGATACAAATTTTAATACAATATTTGCTAAAATGCATAGAAGATAAGTTTAACACGTAGGCTGTCACAATCAATATTATCCATAAACCTGTAAAAAGTTAAGCGAACTAACCCCCCCCCCAAAAAACCTGTATTATGGATGACAGTAGATACATAGATAGAGGCTTGTCGAGGCATTTAATCAGCAGTGGATTGATTGTGGCCGATAATGATGGCGAAATATAACGTAATTTAGATACCCTTCAGTTTTAGATATTAAAGACAGGGTGCCGAATGTTACATTATTTTGTTGTTGGTTAAACTCACATGGTTAAACTCACATGCACCGGATGCTTCACAATAACAAGAGGCGTTTGTTCCAGAGGGTTGTGAGCTCACCTCGCACTTGCCTGTGGGAGAACTCTTGACGTGGATGACTCTTGTGGGCGATACTCATTGCAATCAGTTCGTGAAATCAATTGGGATTTTCCATAATTGCCCCAGGTTATTGAGTGGCTCGTTGCAAGAGGCCATTGGTTCTTTTGAATGACTGTTGACATTTTTCCACAGAATAGGACCTTTACTGTGCTATGGCTGGTCCACAAGGAGGTACATATATGGAGTATCTTGCACAGTGTTTGAGATGATATGTTAAGTATATTCATTAATATAGTTCAATGCATTTGCAAACTATGAACAGGATGGCAAATAGGCAACGCAACATTGGTTACGTGAATGACGAAAGTTTTTATTGCAGAATAGATGTGTTTCTTGTGAAAACATTTTTAGATTACATATATAAAATAAAAAAGAATTATTATTTGTTATATATTGCTGTACAGCCAAGCAAACGACTGGCTCTTAAAATGGTTTCTTTTTTCCCCAGCATAAAATCCAGAAATTCTAATTGTATGCAAAATTTTTCTTGAGAAACTAAATCCCTTATTTACTGCAGCTCCCTATTTTTGGACTAGACAGATGGATGTTTTCCAAAACATCCATTACCGTACTATCACCAAGTTCCAAGCAGAAATCTGCAATGGGATGCATAATTTTGTTCAAGCCACTGGCGAGCATTAATAAGTGTTTGGATTTGGCAGCTGCGCCAATCATAACCAACGGGAACAAATTACAGCCTTCAGGGATGGCTCTGCTTGACACCGCAGCCAACACGGACCCAGTCGTGATCTGCCGTGCTAAGGACCTCTAGAAGCCAGGAGCAGGGCACGTGAAGGAGCATTGGTGGTGTGTGCAAGCCCTTACTAAGACATGCCGCTACTGACTTTCTCAGTCATTCCTTATTGGTGACATCATGATGGAGCTCTTTCAGCCCGTACAGCTGAAAGTGCAACGGCCCAGGCTGCAGTGTATGTGTTCAACGCAAACGCCGCCGCTGAAGTGTGCAATATTGTTTCAGAAAGAAAAAAAAAACCTCATTGTATTACGCTACATCCAACCTTTTCACACAAAAAAACGTGTATTATCTGAAAAACTTGTAGTAGTAGTAATAATAATACGTTTAAATAATAACGCTAAAATGTAAAAAAGAAAATGTTCACTTTAACACGTAGGCTTTCGTGACCAATATTATACATTATATAAGTTTTTGGGTTAGATCACGTACATGTAAATGCGTCGTTAATCCTGCCACCCGCCGACACAGCCAATTATCACGATTTGTTACGTGAACAAAATGTGTAAATTCGTTACTAGTTCAGCACATCGAATTGCAAATGTTAACTCTCTCTCTAACACACCGTTGTGCTGAACTAGTAACGAATTGGAATGTTTTGTTTACGTGACAAACCTTGCTCCATTGGCTGTGGTGGCGGGTTTAACAACACGTTTATATTTACGTGATCTCACCCAAAAAAAACCTCTATTATGGATTTTTTCCTACATTTTGTAAATACATTGAGCTATAACTGGGCCATTGTGCACCAGGATGGAATCGAGGACTGTTTGGTGGACGCGTTGCCATAAAATGTTTATTTCTGCGGTTGTAATCAGGAGATGTGGGCAGTCGGGCATTTGAAGACATTTCTCCCGAGGTGATAGTTTTTCAAGATAGGTAATCTTTATATAACTAAAGTATTTTTGAAAAAAAATGTCCAACAAAGAGTGTTTCTTGTATCAAGCTGGCAGTAAATCAGATACACAAATGTTAACGTAACAGATTACTGTTGAGCTTTAACATTTTGTACGTGACACCAGTCAGTATTTCGGGAAAATTGTGTCACTCAGTCCTTTTAGAAAGGGCACCGCGATCGAATTCATTACAGGTGTGCACTGTGAGTACAAACGTTTAAACAGGTGATTTACGATTAAATGGGTGATATGAATTTCGGTGGGTACACGTGAAGTTATCAGGAAAGTGACATTCTATTGAAAGCATTAAGACACATAGTACATTGTATCGAGTTTGTTTTTTTTAAACTCATCATTGTACATGCCAACATTTTTTGCATGAAACAAGCAGCACGATACGTAGTTGGGCTAGTGCACGATACGCCACCTGCGACGTATAACAATTGAAGGCCACAGCCGAACAAGTAGTGCCGTTTTCTCCCAATTATAAGGCACACTTCTGTTCACTGTGTGTTTTGGGAAGAGTCGGGGGTGCTTGCGTTCCAGATTTGTATGGCTTTACTGAAACCGGACACAAGTTTGGGTTGCACATTATTTTCAGGAGCATCTTATAATTCAGAGAATTTGGTCATGTATTATTAGCGATTCCTTTTATATATCGCTATTTATACAACTTGCGCCTGACAACGTTTTTTACAATTTGTAACGCACAGGGGTGCGGTGAAAAACACAGACAAGCCGGAAAGGGAGCCAGGTGAATTTCCAGTGCCGACACTTTCCCAAGCTCCGTGGTCATCTATATATTAAGATGCTTTCAGCCAAGTTAATCATTAGGAAACAGGGTGGGGAGGGGGGAGCGGCAACACTCTAAGCCATGCAGATGGAACAGCAGCAACATTTTCTGTCCCACCTTCTCGTGGAAAAGCTAGAATATGGCATCTCGTCGATGCCCAGGGGAATGGAGTTTCACAACATCTGTGCGACCCAGCAACCCTGGCTGCCTCGACAGTGGTGGATTACAGGCGTGCGCGCAGCCACTAACAAGAGGGGCAGGATTATACCCAGGCCATGCGAACAGATGCCTAAGCTTATTAGCAAACACCTCAAGCCACCTATGAGATTAAACAGATACGCGAGGGAAATAATGTCATTATTTTTTTTTATCAAAGTCACTGGTGGAGGGAGCCACATTCAGTGAAATTAAACTTTTTGAGGGGATTTTGATTGTTCACACAAAAAAAAACACCAATAATTATCAAAGGCCACTCTGCAAGCATGTTTGTACATATGTTTGTATATTGAACTTCTTTCGCACCGATGTAGCCAACCGTGATAATCGGAGGTGCGGGGGAAGGACAATAAACTACACCCAAAAAGCAGTTCGAAAGAAATGTTTTCAATCTAAGAAGAACTGAGTTTTCAATCTATAGTTCATGTGTATGTGTAGAATAAGTTCCTGTGTATGGCTTCTCACGTTTGAAGAATTGTCAGAAAAAAAAACGCTTTTACCACTTTGTTGGTGTGTATGCGATATGAGGAGGGGTGTTTTGGAGGGAATGGAACCACATTTATTAGAAGACATTTTTTTTGTGGTGGTAACAAACTACATTGGCTTAGTCAGGGTCATTCATGAGGCATGGGGTGGGGGCTGGAGGGGGCTGAGCCCCCTCCCTGCTGAAGGCTGACTCACCCCCCACCCCCCCTAAATGATTATCATCAAGTCAAAACCTTTTGGTAAAATATGTACTCCGAGTAGTGAGTTTTACCCAAGGTTCATCATATACATAAGTGGCAGAATGCATGATAGACAAACGCAGATCATATAGTCTCTTATATTGAGCGTTCGTATTTGTTGTATTGTATAACACTCCCTTTTAACAAGCATGGCATCGGCATCAGAGAAAGTGGATTTGTTATGGTATGTGCTCTTCAGTCACAAGGCAGTGTGAATGATTATGCATTGTTTTTTCAATCTTATGTTTAAAAAACATATCACAAATGATAAAGAGCTTTCAACTAGTTAAATAAAGGGCATTGATAGATCTGGCTTATTAATGTATCAGTTTTATATCACCTCTAACATGCTCTCTTAAATGTATAGTAATTTTTCCTCATTCTAATTTACTGACATTAAATTGTAATTAAAAGAACGGTGCGCTATAATAATTGAAATCCAGCCCATGTCTATGAAGTCTATAAATGTCAAGCCTCATGAAATGTATCCCTTAATGTTCCATCGCAGGATTTTAAAGCTCTTAAGCACGAGCGTTAATGTTAATGCTTGTGCAGAGTAATGAACCAACACCGATGAGATCATAAGTAGTTCAAGTTCCAGACTGCCATCTGAGATTTGTCTTCTTATTCTTTCGGACGGCAGGATTGAATATTGCACGCAATAAAAATGGCAGACATTGATTGCTGAGGATTTTTTTAAAGTTTATTTTCAATGTAATATAAAGGCCCATGTCACTTCAACAAAATACAAAATGCCAGAAACGATTTCTGAAAACAAAATAGGATACGGTTCACTGAATATTAATATATAGACAATAGATCATCTCTTTTTTAATGTATTCATCTACAGCATCCTTTAGCAATCACAGCACAAAGGCGAGCAGAGGACTGAGTCTGTACATCCCTCAAAGTATCAACAATCTTAGGAGTCTCTACATTTTGAATAAATACACGGTATATACACGCTATCATAACGGGCGAAGAGTAGATATAGCCAGCATGTTTTCTTTAAAACAAAATAAAACAAAAAAAACATCACAGCAGTTCCCTTTATATTGCATGCTTTTAAATCAATCTGTGATTTACATTTAATATAGACTTTACTGTGTATGTAATATGGTAACTGTAAAGCACTCTGTTGCATTATACCCCACAATTGTAACAATAGGTATAATCACTCAACCATAAAAATAAATACAAGTTAGTACAGTTAAATTTCAATATGTATATAAAAAATATACTGTACCCATATAGACTTTGCTTACATTTTTTCCTGGATATATGCACTTCCTAAAATATAGTTAATTTTAAATTCATTAAAAGTATACTGGTAAGAGCGTTCTGTTGTTACTGTGGTGCCGTCATAACTCCTTGTATGTCAGTGAAGACCTTTGCTGAGAATCACTTATGATTATTTCGTTTCATAATTCGGCAATGTATTGCACAATTGATAACTGTCCTGTTTAAATAACCAGTGGTTTGTGGAATGCACTCCAGCCAAGATAGCACTTGGGATAATATAACGTATTTAGCAATTGAAGCCAGAGATAAACCATTCCCCCAAAATATGGCTGTTTAACTGGTCTTACCGTTGCACACGCTTTAGGAATTTTCCAAAGTTTCTGATATCAGATCCACTCCAGCAAAAATGTGCTTGTCACATCAAAGAAGCTTGTCTGATAAGAAACATCGCTAAAAAGCGTTCACTTTACATGACATTTAATGGTTCCAAGGAAGAATGCCTTCTTCCACGATGACACTATTCAGCCCGCTGGACTGAATAGTGTAGGCTTTATCTCGTGCTTCCAAAGCTAAAATAAATTAGTTTCATTTGCTATACATTCTAGACAACAACTAAACTCCAATTCTACATATTGTGGCGGTCTAATATACAGAATGTCCAGGTTACTGGAGATAGTGCTCACCCAATTCGTAAAAACGAGTGTGAGTTATTTGCAAATGTGTATTCGGCCACAGTAGGTATATATGTGTAAGCTTGTGGTGTCAGTTGCAGTCATGTTTCTTCTTGAAGGTATTACAGTGATGTTGGTGAATAACGTGATTAGGTAATGAGGCGTGGACAAATGGGCATGTCTGGATCTGCATTCATCCCACAATACAACACCCATTGAGTCTCAAGTGCACAGGCACAGACACAAACATTTTAAGAATGCTGTACACTCCGATTGCTTGTATTGTTAGCCACGGCTGTCAGAAAGGATCTCAAACAGTCCCCTCCTCACTCTTTATAGATGTTAACCTAACTATTGTTGGTTAGTTTATGATTATCTCTATACAATGCTTTAACAGTGGTATGTTTTAAACAAAGGTTATATCCGGCTTCTTACTTGACCAAGTATCAGCATATGATAACAAATATATATTTTTTTAAAAATACCACGGTTAAATTTGCATTGTTGATCAAATGCGTCCTTAAATAATCATTTGAACATTGTCAATTCAATGCAGCAGAGTGAAGATATTAAAATTATGAACTGTTGTTTATACACCACATATCGGAAAATGGGTGATTGCAAAAGGTTTGTTTAAACGTTTGTATCAACGTGGTTTTAGAGCAGCAGATGCAGCAGTAACAGATTGCCAACATAAGAACAATGTCGTGTTAAGCAAATTGACATACCAACTAAAATGTGAAATGTGTATCGCATGAATCTTCTTTACGTGCTTTATTCAGATTTAATTAGGCTTGTTTTTGAACGGTTTACTTATCAAGTAATATCTGCCAGCTGAAAAGTAATTAATGTCAAATTATGAACGTTTTGCATCTCTGCACTGTTGAGTCTCCACGTTGCAATCTGTCGTTTTCCATATTATTCCACCTTTCTTTCCCCCTGTTCTTTCGAATAACTGTTGAAGAAAAAATATTGGGTTTTCATCATTGTTTATTTAAAGCAGAATATGTTTTCTTTGATTGAAAATGAAAGGGTAGTATTGCAGCTTGTTTTTCAACCCTATTATCAATTCTTTCACAAGAAATTAAATTTCAGGTCAAAGCGTGACCTTCGATTACACTGCTAGCTGATTGCAGTCAGACCACGAATACCATTATTTGAATCTTTTATGAAGGCAAATATCACTGGGGTCTCAATAACAATGTTTTGTGGGCTAGAGGTGTTAACATGTAAATAGCTGTAGAAATCTTATCATATATAGATTTCTATAGTGCCTTCGTCCAAGGCGCTTTACACTTATTCAAAGTTGTATATTAGATGATAGTGGTAAAAAAGAGTGGGGTTATTAAAAGTGGTGGTGTAGTTTGGGTGATAGTAAGGAGGACAGGTGGGCGTGTTTAAGGAGGGATTGGTGTAGGGGTAGTGACAGCGGTCAGGGTAGTGACAGGGATAGTGGTAGGGGTAGTGATAGGGGTAGTGATAGGAATAGGGATTGTGACAGCGGTCGGGGTAGGCCTGGTCGTAGCCTGGGGGGCCAGGGCAGGGAGTATCAGTAGGACAGGCAAGGGAGAAGAGAGGGGGGTTGTTTTAAGGGAGGAGTGGAAGCAGGTGGTTAAGGATTATTGCTCCGTGTGCTGCAGTGGGAGCTGGTTCCAGGGTAGGGGAGCGAGACGGGAAGAGGAGCGGGACAGCGAGACTGGACGCAGGGCGAGGGTGGCACAGAGAGGGACGGTAGACATTGGGAGAGTGGAGGATGGGATGGGACAGGGTAGTGAGAGATGAGAGAAGCAAGAAATTGTGGGGCAAGACCGTGGAGGGATTTATAAATGAGAGTGAGAAATTTAAAAAAACAGCGATAGTGGACAAGGAGCCAGTGGAGTTGGGAAAGTAGAGCAGAAGTGTGGGAGTTGGGGCCATAGATGTGGGATTTCTGAAGTTCACACCTGGAACCTTTCCACAAAACACCATCAACACTAGTTTGTACGGTTATGACGTTTGTTAATCACAGACGGTTCATCTCTATCGCCATTGTGATTCTCCTTCATGAATGAGTCATAGATAACAACGGTTACTGAACTGGATGGAAATAACCCATGCTGTTAGCATTCAACTAAATACTTGCAAGCAGATTATACATCAGGTTACATCTGTAAAAGTGTCTACTTAGTCAAAACGGCAACATGGGCAAGGGGAGGTGGGTAAAGTGTGGTAATGGAGTCAGGAAGGATGGATGGAAAAACATCGGCATTCTTTATAAGAGTGCCCTAAGCGAGCATGTACGGTTCCTTGGTGCTTCGCATAACACGCGATGACTCGAATGAATGGTCAGAGGCTCTTGTCTGGCAGTGGCAGCTGCATCACTGCCCGCCTGCTTTTCGTGTGTTGTGCACGTGTCCATTTTCCGGCACCACTTAGGGCAGCAGCTTCCCCCGTGGCTGGTAGAAGCAGGCCCGGGTGCAGGCTTGCAGCTGCTCGGACGAGGCGTCGGAGATAACCGAGCCCTCTTCGTCTGTGTAGGCCGAGTCACACGAACCCCTCCCTCCCCCTCGCCTGCTCTGCTGGCAAGGCACCAGCCGCACCCCCGGTGACCACAGTGGCTTCCAGACCTCCTGCACCAGCGGGTCGGACGAGAGCTGCGTCGCTTCGGCAGAAACGGTGGAGGAGCTGTCGCAGCCGGCGTCTTCAGGGCCGCGGTAGTGCCGCCACACCAGCCGCTTCCACAGGTGGCTGAGGTCCTGTCGTGCGAGCGGGGTGAAGAGCAGGTAGAGCAGAGGGTTGAGGCAGGCAGGGAGAGGGGACAGCAGTAAAAGTAGGGTCCTGGGCACCTCAGGCTCCACGAGGACTAAACGTAGCAGTCCTGCAAAGGAAAAGAAGGCCACGGGACAGTAAAGTACGCAGTCGATGAAGATCAGCCAGGCCACGTGCTTCACCATGGCCCCTTCGCTGGGATCTAGTGGATCTTCCTTCTCCAGTGAGCAGTAGAGCCAGGTGTAGGTGATGGCCATGCTGAGGAATGCGAGCGAATTGAGCAACACCAACGTGGCAAGGTAAGCCAGGGATGAGCTGTCTCCGTTGGGAAGTGGCAGGCAGAGCGGAGACTGCCCGTAGTTGCCGACGTGGAACAGAGGCAACGCGGCCATGGCCACCGCTAGCGCCAGAACGATGCCGGCCATGACCCAGGCCGGCAGCATCGACGGGGCCTTGCCGTGCCTGGACAGCCGCCTTACGCTCAGGGCCCGCTCCAGCGCGGCCGCCGCCAGCAGGAAGATGGACGACTCGGAGGCGAACACGGCCGTGAATCCCAGTGCCCGGCAGCCAACTCCCGTCTCCCAGCGCGCGCCGAATTCGGCGAAGCGGCCGTAGGTCGCGGCGTCGAGGCCGGCCATCGCGCCGCTGTAAACGCCCGTCAGCAGGTTGGCGAGCGACAGGAGGCCTAGCAGCAGGCGCAGGGAGGTGAGCCGCTGGCACGAGCAGAACGTGGCGAGCGCCACCACGGCGTTGGTCGAGATAGCGAGCAGGAAGATGAACCACACGCCCAGGCGCACCATCCAGCTGCCCAGCAGGTACTCGCATGGCTTGAAGGCCCCTGTCAAAGCCATTCACTCCAAATGTAAGTTCACAACGTCGTTCTGCTGTTTAACACACGGGCTTTCGCGACCTATATTATCCATAATAATAATAAACGTTGTGAATTTACTCGCCAATACACAGGTGATGCTGAAATAGTAACTAATTGGCATGTTCGTTGACGTAACAAACCTTTCTAATTGGCTGCGTCGGGTGGTGGTGGGTTTAACAACACATTTATATTTACACGATCTAACCCAAAAAAAACTTTATTGTGGTTCAGTCTGCTGTTCTCTGCGAAGCAAAAATATAATGAGGTGTAGTCGGGTGCCTGGCGATAAATCCGTTGTGCTCTATTGTGACGTCTTTGGAATTGTGATGATAACGAGGTTGTTTAGGAGGGCCACGCTTTGTGATGCCACTGAGGTTATTGTAGAGGGTGGTGGTCCAGATGTTTTGTGACTCCCCCCCCACCCCCCATGAATTGACCCCATAACACATTTTTTTCGTTTCCATATTCATGTATGTTTTCAATAAACCTTACAATAAAATATTGAGTTTCAGAGAATTCAATTGGGGGGGGGGCACAAGACATCTGGACCGCCCTGTACCGTGTGCTTTCGAGTCCGAGGGTGAACTGTGACAAATAGATTGCGTCAAATTCACGCTCAATACCATACGTTTGTGCTTGAGATGTCGTGTGCTGTATACAGGGCATAATGTATGTCGAGGTGGTGTACCTGGCGTTGGTGTACAATGCACAGTATGCTGTAATTTGAGGTCATCCTCCAGCTCCAAGAAGAACTCATCAGAATCCAGATCGTCTGCCACAACAACGGATGATTGTTAATATGCGACATTTGCAAGCACATGTCACAAGCAGAGCATCGTCACCACGGCCAACGACGTTAATGCCACCACACCTCAGTAGCCTCCGATTACCACGGTTGACTGTGTACGGTGTGAAAGAAGTTCAACATACGCACATAATTTACCATCATCACTTTCACAAATCCTCCAAATGTTGCACAGCACACATTCAACCTCCACAGTCTGCTCTCATAGTTTCCCACCATCAGGACTCAAGTGTTTCCCTTGGTCACGATCTCATCTCTGGGTGCCACTCAAATGCCTGTCTCAGGAACCTCCCCCCCCCCCTCTATCATCCTGCACGTGTGTCCCACTCATCTTTCCACAGCGTCTTCCTGATTGCATCTACAATGCTTTTTACACCCGATTACAATGCAAAATTGCAAGTTGTTTGCCGTATTTTCTGTCATGAAATTCCCATCACAAGTATTAATGTATGTATTTAAATACAATGACAATATTTTCTGGATAATGTGTTATTATTGCAGTACATGCACAGAATATTTGAAAATGCTATTTAAATTTTGAGCACAGCATCGGCATTAAACGTCTAATAAAATGTCAACTAAGATACTCGAATAATTATATTCCCAGAGCCTGCTATCCACAGCAGGTAATTGGTGTGGGATTGTTACATTTTATTTCGCACGGTAAGTAGCCAACCATGCTAATCAGAGGTGTGGATTGAGGTTCACGGTTGGAATCCAGCGGCCGCCCTGATTTTTACTGTCTGTGCAATTGCCGTAGTAATACAATGCGCCGTCCGCTTCACTCACAGTGGACATTAAGGATCCGCCGACGTCATTCACAATGACGTCGGCCGCTGCGTGTCGGCATCAGGGTCCGAATTATTCAAAATTCGACAATTACACCACAAATTACTAAATCGGAAAACCACGTATCAATCTCCATCGTCACCACTGACTGGCAGACTAAAATTAATTTGCAGGCTGGGTGCTGAGTCGCTATTTGTCTACAGGGACAACTGCCACTGGGGGTGGCTTTTCAAATGTTATGAGATGTTGATGTAGAGGGCTCCAAGATCCCCTGAAATATAGGGCCCTCGATATCAAAAACATGATTATTTTTGTAGTTTGAGAGAGATAAATATACCAGCAATTTTACGTTGTATTTTTGTTTTATTTATATATACAAACTTTTGTACATTTTTGTAAAAAAAAAGCCTTACAAAAATGTTATTTTTGAGGATTTGCTTTTCCTTTAACTGAGAGTCTAAATACTTTATTTTTATGACCAGGTCTTATTGTCGGATCAAGAAATCTCTTTGCAATATGTTGCCTGCCATTTCCACCACCGAGGGACAGAAACTGGCGGTCGTCATGACCCCAGGACAGCATTTGGAAAATCCTGAGCCGAAGGTCACCGTGGACTTTTGAATCGGCCGTACGGTGGCGGTCCATCATGAGACAACATGGGCAGAATGTATAGGGAATGTGTGGTTGTAGTGGAGTTTAATCCACACGTCAAATGTGAATGAATAATACGAGTCAGTGTAACATTTGACATTAAGCACTTTGACAAAATGTAACAAGAGTTAACAGGAAATGTCCAGCCAGTTATGGGTGATATTCTGCAAAAAGCCGTTCTCAAAATAGTTCGTATTTAAAACAGATACCCATTTACATCCATGACGCAGTGTTGCGGTATTAAAGTAAGATTTTCTCAAGCATCACTTTAATTATCTGTGAATCCATGGAGAAGGACACACAGACCCCCTGGCCTCAGAGTGTAGTTTTATTCAAAGGAGATGATGTGAGAGAGGCATTTGGCTGTGTATAATCATGTATAATTTGACAGTTTTGAACATTTTGTAACTTCTACTTCTATACTGGTTAACATTTATCAGTGTTGTTAACTTTGATATTCAAAGATATATTTAAAATAGCGAAAACCGCGAACAGCAATGTCTTGTATAGCTCCTTAAACATGTCATTCCTCTTAGTAGTGGTGTCGCGGTAAACTTAAAACGTAGGATGTAGATCGCTGTGTAGAAGCATTTGCAGGGGCGTTTGCCAAAAAAACAAATAGCGTTTAGAGGCTAAGCCAATGGTTGTTTCCCCGTGGTTTTAACAGCGCGGCTTTGGAGTCATAGTTTTGAACCCTTGGTGGACTTTGCACCCGTGTTGCCTTTGCGGACCCAGATCACGATGCCTGTGGATCATCAGAGAGTCGTTTGTGCTCAGAGAGTAGAGTACAGTGCGCACCGTGTAACGCGCAAGTGGGCTTGCAACGACGCATCCGTCCATTCGTTCATCGATTAACGTAGACGCCGACGCTCACAACACGTGCAGAGAATAGCACGTGAACGATCAATTACTGCTTATTTACATAATTTGAACATTTAATGCGAATGTAGCATTTAGGCAATGATAGTGAAGAAGATAGAGAACTGTACAAAAGAGAGCAACAACAACAACAAAAATAAACAGTGCAATCGAAATACTGAAAATGTGACCCAGGATTTAGTCGATCATTGAACCGATTTATAAACCACAAACCACGTGACTACACAAGAGTTTTTTTTGGGGGGTTAGATTGCACAAATATAAATGTGTTGTTAAACCCGCCATCACCCGACGCCACAGCCAACTTGTAAGGTTTGTCACGCAAACAGAACGTGCCAATCCGTTACCAGTACAGCACAGCGCCTGATGATGCTAGTTGTAATTGCTGGCAAAGGGTCATACTCAGATTGTAAATGTTGTGGATTTGCTCCCCAATACACCGGTGTGCTGTACTGGTAACGGATTGGCACGTTCTGTTTGCGTGACAAACCTTACAAGTTGGCTGTGGTGTCGGGTGATGGCGGGTTTGACGATAATTTTTATTTTGCCCGATATAACCCCAAAATAACCCCTCTATTATGGATAATATTGGTCGTGAAAGCCTACGTGTTAAACTCACGTGACTACATTTATATCGCTCGGGAGGGTGAATAGCTACTTGAGTGGTGTATACATTCTCCAGCCTGTTCCAAGAATGCTAAGCCTTGCATCAGTGAGACTACCACCAAGCTGAGCCCCTGTGTATGTTTATATTGGAGCCAACATGAAAGCGATTCTCTACAAAAGGAAGCGAGGCTTCAGTTGAATAAAATTGTCCAGATTATGGTTGTGCAAGACGTCCCCAATAGACGGAGGGGGAAAATATCCTGCACAAATCAACCTAGAAAATATGTAATCGCAGTGTTTTGCTACTGGTTTGGTGGCATTGAGTCTAAAGCAATAGGGGTATTATGGAGAATAATACCAGGTGTGGACAACATATGCAGAGGTGCACGGACGGGCATTCACAATATGAGGGTACATGTCAACAGGGATTAGTGTGCAACCCCGCGCTTCAGTGTACGCAGATTAATGTTACTGCAACTCCATCCACGTGTAATGTGAACCTGCACATGTATACAATTTGGTGTTATATAGCATCACAGTAATACAACGGGGTGTCTATAGTTACTTTGGATACTTTGTACCTCGCAATTTACTCCCCCAGCTGTCCCCTCACCACCAGTTCAAAAATCAGTTTTTGTTTTGAATTGTTTCTTAACTTTTTTGGCTTATTTTGTTTCAAGCCGTTAAGTCTTCAAGTAACATTAACATGATCACTTGCATATAATTGGCGCGATTAAGTAATGACGTATTCTTCCATTGCATGTATTGTGGGCGTAGTATCGATTTCGATCAATTAATGGATGTATTTTTGTTTCTATATTTTGTGCATCCTCTCCTTTGAATTAGACTACTAGGCCAGCGGGTCTGTGTTGTCCTTCCCCCATGGATTCACAGACAATTCAAACTACGCTCTGCACTCTGAGGTCAACGGGTCTGTGTTGTCCTTCCCCCATGGTTTTCCAGACAATTCAAACTACACTCTGTGCTCTGAGGCCAACGGGTCTGTGTTGTCTTTCCCCCATGGATTTCCAGACAATTCAAACTACGCTCTGTGCTCTGAGGTCAACGGGTCTGTGTTGTCCTTCCCCCATGGATTTCCAGACAATTCAAACTACGCTCTGCACTCTGAGGCCAACGGGTCTGTGTTGTCCTTCCCCCATGGATTTCCAGACAATTCAAACTACACTCTGTGCTCTGAGGTCAACGGGTCTGTGTTGTCTTTCCCCCATGGATTTCCAGACAATTCAAACTACGCTCTGTGCTCTGAGGTCAACGGGTCTGTGTTGTCCTTCCCCCATGGATTTCCAGACAATTCAAACTACACTCTGTGCTCTGAGGTCAACGGGTCTGTGTTGTCCTTCCCCCATGGATTTCCAGACAATTCAAACTACACTCTGTGCTCTGAGGCCAACGGGTCTGTGTTGTCTTTCCCCCATGGATTTCCAGACAATTCAAACTACACTCTGTGCTCTGAGGCCAACGGGTCTGTGTTGTCTTTCCCCCATGGATTTCCAGACAATTCAAACTACGTTCTGTGCTCTGAGGCCAACGGGTCTGTGTTGCCCTTCCCCCATGGATTTCTAGACAATTCAAACTACGCTCTGCACTCTGAGGTCAACGGGTCTGTGTTGTCCTTCCCCCATGGATTTCTAGACAATTCAAACTACGCTCTGCACTCTGAGGTCAACGGGTCTGTGTTGTCTTTCCCCCATGGATTTCCAGACAATTCAAACTACGCTCTGTGCTCTGGGGCCAACGGGTCTGTGTTGTCCTTCCCCCATGGATTTCCAGACAATTCAAACTACCATAATACGTTTTTTTTTAGTTAGATCGCGTACATTTTTGGATTAGATCGCGTATTTACGTTAGATCGCGTATTTACGTGATCCAACCCCCCCAAAAACCCCGTATTATAGATGATATTGGTCGTGAAAGCCGACGTGTTAAATTCGAACAATGCTTTGCATTCTGAGGCCATGGGGCGTGTGTATCTTTCCCCATGGATTCAAAGACAAAAAATTCAAACAACGAAAGGAGAAAACCTTAAGTTCAGGCGTTGGCAATCAGAATAACAAGAGAAGCGATTGTTATCGAATTAGGTGAAATTAAAAAAGCCCCCTCAATATTTCAAGATCCGCAGTGCACTGTGGGTGAATACAAGATGGTGGTGGTCCTTAATAAATAACGGTCACGAAGCAGTTCCTGAAAGAGCCACACGCGGCTCCAGAGCCGCAGGTTCCCGACACCTGCCTTAGTTCTATACCTCAATGCAGTGTATATACTCTCTCTATATATGTGTAAAACGTGTGCATTTGTTTCTATGTAACAATTATAAGTGAGGTGTTGGTGTGTCGCAGCCAACACAGAGGAGACCGGACATCATAGAGAAACCAATGCTTGGTCGGACATAAGGACAGTGCGACGGTGTCTGTACGAGACTGAAGAAACATCAAAAACGGAGTGGAATTGAAAGTTGTTGACAGTGGACTCGGAGTTAGAAGGAGAGAGAGCGAGCAATAATGATGTTCTAGATAACTAGAGAAAGCAATGGAGTTCCTTGAAAATTGGTGTAATGCTTTGTTTAGTGTGTATGCCTGTTGAACTTCTCTTGCACCATACTTAGCCAAGCCATGCTGATTGGAAGTGCAGTGGAAGGACAACAAACTAAACACTAAAAACAGTTCTCAAGAAATTAGTTTTGAATCTAGATCAATTAGTCTTCAATTTAATGAGCGAGCAAGCTACCAGTAGATTTATGTATCATATGCAGCTCATATATCGATGTAAAGATGTGCGAGTCCAGCTGCAGCTATTAAAGTGCAATGTAGTGAAGGTTTTAGTGACGGTGGTTATTCGTCACTGGATATGTGAAATGGAGAAGTTTTTTTATGTTTGTCATACCATGCACATATTAATCACAATTAAAATATTTTACTGATAGGGCTTTGTTTTGTAGTGCATGCTTTCTGGGCAATTGTGGATTTCTGTGCTCGTAACGAGTTTAATTGTGTTTACTGCTTGCTTTGCTGCACCAAGGCACCCTTGTAAACTCGATGTAAAATTTTCTAAAGAGCACATTCCTTGATAAATATGTTCCATGAGTGAATAAAATTCCTGGCTCTCTTTTTGCCCCTGCCCCCACGTAAAAAAAAAAAACTGCATGCAGCACCCTTGGTGAGAAGAGTTTTAAAGCTCTTGTAAAACCTGATTTAATGCTTCAAATGAAACGTATATGAGACATTTAACGTTTTACGTGCACTGTTCATAGCTTCGATGATGATGGTAATATATTTGCTCTGACAACACTGCATGGGTGATGAAAACAATGGTCTTCAAACGTGCACGTCATAGCGTCTCCGCTGTTTTTGTTGGGCGTCATGGGGGCGAGATGTTAACTACCTCGCCTGGTATACAGGAGGTCGTGGATTTGACTACGATCCTGATGCCTCTATATTTGGAGTTTGCGTGTCTCTCTCCCGGTGGACGCATGGATTTTTCTCCGGGTGCTCCGGTTTTTCCCTCCACATTTAGAAACGTGCGTTTAGAGTATTTGGCAGCTATACATTTCCACATGATAAGCCACTTTGCTGAGTTATCGTTTGTGGCCAGGTCGCTTATGAAAAAGGGCTATATAGCTCAGTGGGCCTTACCTGGTATGATAAATAAAAGAGTTATATCTGTTCTTTTAAAAAAAATGAGCATGCATGCCCTCGCAATGTGGTGCACAGAAAACTGATTTTCTGCCGCTGTTTTGTGTCCGACACGGATGTCGCTTTTGCATAGAAACTCACATATGTCTGGTTGGCCAAGGTACGTTTGAACGTCTCTCTTTTGGATATCCTCTCCGTCTGAGAGCCACTGGTTTTGTCCAGAGACAGGCGTCTCACAGTAGCCATAAGCGCAGCACTGGTACGCAAAGGGCACCTCCAGTGTCCTGCAGAAAGTTCACAAATGAGTGCACAAAGTTACGAGTTATCAGTGGCACGACTGACACAATAACAATACTCTCATATTAATCATGTTAAAAAATTGGAACGCGCTGCACATTATTCAGAATCGGAATATTTATTCATATTGGAGGAATCCGATGAGCCATAAATCTATTTGTTTGCAGACGTCCAGTAGCACACTCTCATAGAGAGAATTTTTCAAGAGGCGCAAGGAAGAATCACAGACCAGCGTGAAGGCAGCCATATGATGAACCGGCACAAAATAATTGCCCAAGTTCTGACATCCTCTATACACTAAGGTGCTTTCAGCCAATGAATGCGTGTGTTTTAAAACAACAATAATAATTATTATAAAGACAACCTATCTGCACCTGACGTCTTTGACTCAAAAACAATTTTCTGCAAAGGAAAGCTTCAGTTCGGTGTCTTCATATTTAACGTGATAACGTTTAAACAAGTGTATTGCCATTATTGACAACATTCAACTCATCGAGCCAGCTTACTTCATCATTGTCAAGCAACATAGATGGTCAATCCGGCATTCGATGAATACCTCCTGCGTCGCTGACAGCCCTTCCAGCTTCGTGATGCCGTTGTGCATCTCGCTCCTACATCTTTGCTGATGTCACCACTCCATGGTGGTGTGTCTCTTCTTTCCTTCACGTTTCTCTCTTTTATTGACTGCTATTCAGTCACCAGTCTCGTCCATCGGCCGTCATCGATTACCTTTCTCCGATCGAAGCATTCGTCTTTCTTAATTCTCAGCACACATCTCGCTGTATATATTTTTTGAGTTTTACAAATCCATTTACATCTAAATATGTGCAGCTCGTATGGCCCTGTTGAAAGTGAACTCTTTTATGAGAAGCAAAGAGACTAAACCTTTTGCAATGCATCGTATTTTTTTTGGAAACTGTAGTTGTTTATGTCTATAAATAATGAAGTATTTTTTTCGGTGTGTGTTGAACTTATTTCGCACCGTATGTAGCCAACAGCGCTAATCGAAGGTTGCGGGGAAGGACAACAAACTAAACACAGACAAAGTATAGGTCTGATTCAATACATGCAAATATATAGCCTTGCCAAGGATTTTCCATTATGTTTAAAACTTCAGAAACGTTAGAGCTATAATGCACTACCTCAAACACAATTGCGCTCGTGTTCCAAAATGTGGGCTAACAACAGACATCGGCCACGGTATACTACGTGAATATACAAATTGACGAGGTTTTATTTTCCTCGATGTCTGAATTCGTGACGGTTGATTGCTTGAAATTAAACAGGGGCAATCTTTGTGAGATAATAAATATTCCTACCATTTACGCAGCTCATTTTTTTAAAGTCCTTTGGTTTAATGTTTACACGTGGCCACTGAACAAGCAGTTGGAAATGCTTTCTTGGAATTCACATTGAACGCTGATAGATGACATAAGTGAGAACACGTGTGAGCCCATGCGACATACTAGAGCAAGTCAACTTGGTTGGCAAAACAGAGGCTTGTCAGAAGGTGCTTCCCAGCCACTTTGATAGCAGGGATTATGCCTGTTCACGTCTTGCTCGATGGCAGTGGGGGAAAACGCTGCTTTTCTGTAACGTCAAACTTCCTTTTTTTTCAACTCCTTTAATCTGCAGTGCATGATGTAAACTGGGTGCTTCACGGTGGATCTGGGTTTTGTTCCAAGTTTTGTTTTTCGTTGGTCCTGGCCTGCATCTGAGTGCTCCTATCCTGCATGCATGCATTGCGTCTTTAATCCAAATACAAAGAAGCCCCGTATAGCCTTTAACAGACTGTTGGCGCAAGTGCTGTTAGCGAGCACCTATGAAGGCCGGCACGGCACGTGACGGGGTGGGTGGCAAGTCTCCCCAATGCACATTTTTACATCTCGCATTAGGTACTCATTCAAGGCTGAGTGGGCCGAGGGGAGGCCCAAGGACCGGTTTAGATATTCGTCACCGATGTTGACCGTGAGCGGGAAGACAACTTGAGTCACCGGATCTGGAGCGCAGTGTGCTAACCACCAGGGCACGACTACTCCCCACACGTATTTGAGACAACACACACCGGAGGTGAGGGAAGTGCTGAGTGGGGTTGAGGTGGATGAGTGCGGGGTTTCCCCCCAGCTTCAGGTGCACCAGTCCCTCCAGCCCTTCCGTTGGCACCCACGAGAGTCCATTGGAACTCAAGTCTCTGCAAGGGGGGGGGGGGGGGGATGACATACGTCTCGCAATCATCACTCGCAAAACCAAAACGACAACAAACGGCGCTTGCCAGTATTTCCAGACTCACAACTTCGCCAAACACTTAAGTTTTTTTAGTGTATTTAAATCTGAATTAATTCGGTTCATGTGTTGAATTTAGAGGCAGTACTAGATCAAGTGCAATCCTAGATTCTTCAATTGCTTTGTAGTTTTATTTTAGGTACGCAGTAATTATGCACAAGAATGTTATTTTGAAAGACGTCGATCAATGCACTATTCGGGCTGATTCTACAAAGGGGTTTTTAAACTGCTTACACAAGTTAGTTGCCAATTGTACAAATTTACTTTTCTGTGATTGGGAAATTTCTATCATCAAATTGCAGAGTTCTAACATGCTAAATGTTATTATTTCCTTTGAGTAATATTGAATCTTAAAAAAAGAAACACATCTAAATGGAGTACAGAGTTAACCGTGAAGATCTGAATGATAATGATTTATTTCACAGCTGTAAAAGGTGGCTTGCCATGGAAGTGATCCACTCCCGCAGATGCACAGACGCATAAATGGTCAAACAAGATAGTGTATGAAGCGGTGTAAAGGGATGTAGTGAGATCAATGAGTAGAAGAAATCAGAAAGATCCAGGCGCAGTGGTGAGCTCATTTTCATGAAGACACGGTGGCTCAGTGGAATAACATGAAAGCAGTTGTAACTGGCGGGCTCACACAACGCTGCAAAGGTTGATCACAATCTCTGAAACATATACCTACTCCTTTTTGTCTTTGCACATTTTTTTGGTGTCTTTAATTTTAGCTACAACCTTAAAGGCAACAAGCACATTCTTGATTTGAAGCTTTCGTGGCTGCAGGAATTACTCTCTGGTTCTTTCAGTAAAGTCACGTAGAAAGAAAATAAATTGAATAATAGAATACAAAGTTTCGATTGCAATACAAGCAATCGTCATCAGGTAGAAAATAAACCTAGTAAACTTAGGGATACAATGCAATAGAACACAGAGAGTCGGCGAACACAACAGTCAGTACCTTACCTAGTTCATTACGCTCTTCCGAAGATTGCTAAATTTGAGAGAGAGACAAAACACAGACACGGGGACACACGGACAGACACACAAGCAGAGAGAGAGACAACGCAGAGACACAGAGAGAGACACAACATAGCCTCTCTCTCTCTGTGTCTCTGTGTTGTCTCTCTCTGCTTGTGTGTCTGTCTGTGTGTCTCCGTGTCTGTGTTTTGTCTCTCTCTCAAATTGAGCAATCTTTGGAAGAACGTAATGAACCAGGTGGGGTGTTGACTGTTGTGTTAGCCGACTCTCTGTGTTGTATTGCATTGTATCCCTAAGTTCACTAGGTTTGTTTTCTACCTGATGACGACTGCTTGTGTTGCAATATAAACGTCGTATTCTATTATTTAATTTATTTTCTTTCTACCTGACTTCACCGAAAGAACCAAAGAGTAAGCACATTCTTATCTCCAGTTATGCACGAACGTACAAACACTTGATTCATCAAATTGGAAACGCGTCTCGGCTAACTTGGCTCGGGAGGGCACCAAATTGTGAAGGTTAAACAAGCCGGCAGGGCGCGAGGGGAATGTGTAGCCCCCCCCCCCGCCCCCTGTGACGGGCTCGCTGGCCGAGGGGGGCGCAGGGGGTAGAGAGGGGCCCGAGCGAAGTGAATGGGCAAGCGGCGGTGGGGATGAGGAGGTGATGGAGGAGGAGGAGGAGGGAGGCGCAGCTGCTCACAGTTTGCTGAGGCCGCGCAGGGTGAGGAAGGCATGTGGGTGGACCTCTTGGATCTTGTTCTCGCTCAGATCCCTGAGTTACAAACAACACGGCATTCTTGGCATGGCACCCTTGGCCTGCAGCAAAGGACCCTTTCTTTAATCACAGTCTCTAAGGCGTCCTCTGAAGTGAAATCCAATAATAAAAACAAACATCACTGTTTCTGTTGCATCGAAACTGACATATTGCTTATATGTTAGCCAAATAATTGTCAGATGTGATTCAATGTCCATTCTTGCAGATGGAAGTGAATTGCCATAATCATCATTATTATTCTTGTTATTATATTCAAAAGCACAATACATTTCTGAAAACTACATGTGGAAATTCTGAGAGCATATTGGAACGGCACGAGGTTTGTTTGATGCCTTCTTAACAAGTTTTAAGATACTTTATTGTTTGTATTTGACGTAATCTGCAATACGTATTTCATTCCCTCAGGTCAAATGAATGCATGCCATTACTCACCATATGGAAATTAAAAAAAAACCCCTCTAATTTTACATCTATAGGCACACTTCCAAACGTTGTGAAGCAGACAATAAAAAACCTCACCCACGCAAAAACGTTTCATGTTCTAGTTATGTTTTTTGATTATTTAATGTATTATTTAAATGTTGTGATTTATTTTATTTTATACCTACGTGACTTTACCGAAAGAACCAAAGAGTATATATTCCTGCAGTCACGAAAGCTTCAAATCAAGATTGTAATATACATGTTGAAATTTTTTTTATTTCCCCTCATCTGTAGATTTGCTGTCTATATGAAGGAGAAACAGCAAGTGGTGTTTGGTGCGTTTGGGTGAAACTTAAAAAAAAATCATAATCAGCACAATCCATAATCTATCCACTGCTGATTGAGGCCTCCCCAAGCAATCACACTCTAACACGTTGTTGAAATCCAACAAACCATCTAGCTCCTTGCATACAAGCTTATTTCATCACTCCATCTCCACAGTTTACGTAGTTTCAGGCACATTCCCTTCTATGGTTGACACTCCAATGTTAGTCTCGACCTTGTGTTCCCTTTTCTGTCTCTCAGTCTAACAAGTGGGCTCAGTAAAATTGAAAATTTTGTCCCTCAGAATAACTTACATTTCTGTCTCTCAGTATAGCTTCATTTTGTCTCTCAGTAAAAAAAAATGCATTTGTGTCTCTCAGTAGAACTTTAATTTCTCTCTGTATAAAATGAATAAAAAAAACCCGTTCATGCTTCTTTGAGCACTCTTTAGCTTCGAGTCCAGGTTGTAGGTTAATGTCTGTGTTTCTGATCCACATATCATAGCAGGCATTATGAGCTGATAAACACTTCTTTAGTCACATCATTATGTTGCTTTCCATTGTTGAGTTCAGTTTTTTAAAAGCATTTCAACCCTCTCTTGTAGACTTATTTGATCATTTTGATCGTGATCCATTTTAGATTAAACACCCTATATACATATATATTTTGATGCACTTTCCAGTTGCGTCTTTCTGACCGATGTCTCCAATTGTCCAGATAAATTATTTGCACATGCCTCGCTTTGCTTTGCTCAAGCTTACCCTGAGCCCCACTCCTCAGTCCTCACTGTCAGTTTTTTTCTGTTCTACGGTGTCATTCGTTCCATTGACAAATCAAGAGTCATAATTCCTCACTGCGCCCACCCCCCTCCACCTTTTGAATAACTGGCTCCTGCCATGGGATACGATAACTTCCTCCTGCCACACAGAAGTGATGCGACTGGCTCCTGGGCCATAAATGGCCATGGGAACCATGATACATTGGCTGGAGGGGGGCGGGGGAGGGAGATGCCGACGTGTTATTGTTTCTAAATCACAAAAAGTACCAAATGTTCAGCAATGTGCCACGTCCACATTGTTCATAAAGCGGCTACAGAACACAAATATTGTGCCCGCTGCTGCTGCTGGAAATGGTTATTGCTGTTTGGTGGGCTTCATTCTATCAGCTTCCCTGAGCGAACATTGAGATCCTGAATGCGTCACTTGAATTACGTAAGATTTTTTGGAAAAAAATAAGTTATGCTTCAACGGTTTTCCGAACATAACGCTATTTTCATTAAGCTGTCAGCTGCATTTGTTACAATTGCTACTGCGCTGCATGGTTGTAAAATAGCACAGCTGTCACAGTCATTTAACGTTTTATACTTCTCACTATTCGAACGTTTTGAGCTGCCTTGTGATTAATCTTGAAAGTGGTGTTTAATTGAAACAAATGGCCATGCTGTCAGTGTAAATATTGTCACAATTACTAAAAAAAGTGCAGTTGACGATAGCAACGGTCCTCTGAGATGAGTCCCTCACCATAGGCAATTCATATTTGTTACGTCTTTCTCTGCAACTAATTTGACCAATTTTAACAATAGAAAAACATGATGCGTGATCCCAACACGTGCTCAAAGAGTAGATGTTTATATGCACCTATAATACATCAGCACTCGCTTCATTTGAAGGACTTACAGTGATTTCAAGAAGGCAAGATATTGAAAAGTGTCTTCCCCAATTGCTTTCAATTCGTTGTTCTGCAGAGATCTAAAAATAAGCACAAATGCAATTAGTACGTCCGTTTATTCACTACAATCTCCCTCCATCACATTTTCCCAATAATAATGTTATATAAGTATCTGTCAACTTGAGTTTTAACACACATGCCATGTTTTGCGCTGAGGAACCAGTCACATTTCATACGATCAATTATTTACGTAGGCTTTCGCCGCCAATATTCTGATTCATAAACTAGTTTTGTATGCAGTGTAAGATAAAAACAATTACATCATTTAAGCCAACACAATAGCCTCGAAGTATCACTTCTGCCACTCTCTGCTCCCAGCGCAGACTGATGACATCACACCCCCTGTTTAAGGCCTAAGACTGGAGTATATTTTACACAATTCTGGAAACTGCCTGATGATGCAGGTTGTAACTGTCAGTGAAACGTCTGAACCCATTTAAATGTTGTGACATTGCTCTCCAACACACCAGTGGTGATGCTGAAGCAGTGATACATTGGCACATTTATTCACGTGACTACTTTATTTATAGGCTGTGTCGGATGGAGGAGGGTTTTACGCCACACATTTTATTTATATGATCTGACCCAAAAATATAAATTCTGAATCAACCAATAACCCGTTCATGTTTATGTTTAGCCCTGAAAAATAATACCATTCACTCAAATAATATTAAGGCTGTACAACCTCAACACACAGTCGTAAAAAATATATATTTTGTTACTTTTTCAAATGCTCTCCAATATACCGGTGTGCTGTACTAGTGACGAATTGGCATGTTCTGTTTACGTGACAACCCTTACTAGTTGGCTGTGTCGGGTGGTGGCGAGTTTAACGACACATTTATATATTTACGGGATATAACCCAAAAAAACCTCTATTATGGCGTAAAATTAATATTTTGTTACTCTTTCAAATGCCGTAGGAAATATTTTTTTAGACGTCCTTTTTAAAAAAAAAATCATCTGAGATCAAGCGGTATTTGCTTGGCAACAAACGGATGGGCCAAGTTGATGGACATAGGAGTTGGCCTTTGAAATGTTGAACATACCGTATCTATACTCTCTGGTTCTATTGGCTGTCCTCCAGACAGTCTCGTCCCTTCACCTGATGAAGGCCGCTTGTGTTGTGGCCGGAACGTCGTGATTTTTGTTATTTAATTTTTTTACCTACGTGACTTTACCCAATAGAACCAGAGAGTATGGATCCTTGCAGTCACGAAAGCTTTAAATCTAGAATACTGTATCTATTTTAAACAATTTCCTAATTTATTAGCATGCTAACTTGCACTCGGTGTGACAAAAAGGGTTTGTTCTTGGCACATGTTGCGAATGGCTCCCACTTCGTTACAAACATGCTTTCGTATCATAATGAGTTATTTTTTGTTTGTTTAGATCGTGTAGGCATGATGGCAACATCTCTTTTTTATTATTATAACCCTCCATCAATGGACAAAGCCAATCAAATTAAGTTTGGCACGTGAGCAAATATGCCAATTGATTTGTATTTGTCAGCAAAAACAAGAGTAATGTTGAAAAGGGAGGAACATTTTTACAATTTATGTCACCCAAAATTAACCAATTATGAATAATAATAATATAAGATGGTGACAGACTTCGTATAAAATTAAGCTTTCGTGTCATTAAAAAAATATATCCCTCACCAACCAGTACAAAGACAAACAATCTGATTACGATGTATAAAGTGCACTGTCTTTAGAAGAAAAACACAACTTTCACCAGCATGGAAATAATTACACGAGCCTCTGCTCAACTTCCACATATAAGTATATCTATATACACACACACACGCAGTATGGATGTGCACAAAAGTTCGACATGTGGGTTAAACCAAGGATGCCCCTTACATCTCCTCTAGAGCCAGGCATCCCTGGAGGCTGTGAAGAGTCTGGATGTGGTTATTAGACAGGTCTCTGGAAGAAAAGAAAAAAGCAACACAATATTCAGGGATTATTAATGATAATCTCAAGGGCTCCATAGGGCTGTGCAGGTCTTGGCTCGGTGGCCTAGTGCCAAGTGGATTCATTCTTAAAACAGAGCAGTTTTCTTATAACTTAAAGAGTATTGCATTTGGAGAGATATATATATTTATTTTCTGGGACCCAGGACACCCGTGGACACAGTCCATGGACAGCATCTTCCTCTGCCTGCAGTGATAGCTGTGGGTCCATTTAGTTCAGAAGTAATAACTTTCTTCGTTATTGATATTAAACTCATCTCTTTCGAACTCTTTTTTTTGTGTTTAGTTTGTCGTCCTTCCTCCACACCTCCAATTAGCACGCTTGGCTACATACAGTGTGCAATAAGTTCAACATACATACATATGTTCAAAATTTGAATTAGCTGGCATGCTAAACCAAAGAGCAAATACATCGCCATCATCTGAAACTTCTTAAGTGTGATTTTATTCTTCTGAAGTGTGATTTTATTAATACATTTTCTCATTGCCAGTATTTGCCATTACCATGCAGTCCAGGTGTTATTTACATATTAGGTATATATATATATATTTATTTATGTTGAGTGTACATGTTTGTCAGGAGGTATAAAAAGCTGGGCTGTGATGGGCACCAAACGGATTGACTGCAGTTCATTGATATGGACCACTTGCATCCGGAGTTTTGGCTGCAGCCCATTCTATCTTTGAAATAGTACTGCATTTTTATACCAATCCATTTTGGTTGCGTAAATGAATTCCACATGTAAGAATCAGCCAAATGATTCTGGTTACATTACAATATGGCCGAGAGCTGCTTCATTCATCATCCAGCGATGTGAGCACTGAGCACCAAATCTAAAATAAATATATCTTAGCTCCATACCCACCTGACGATTTACTGCTCATTATTGGATGCATTGTTCCTATTGTGGGACGCACGTTACAGAGAGCTTTGATGTGTGCAGCTGGAGAGAGGTGTGCTGTCACTCACAGCACTTGCAGCTTGTGCATTTGCTTGCAGAAGTCTTGGGGAAGTGAAGAAATGTTGGTCCCAGTTAGAGTGCTAGTTGACATAAAGCATAGGCAATGTTTTGAATAAATACTGTGTGTTTTTAATGAATGGCAATTCCATGTAATAGTTATTATTATTACTACCACTATCAATATGATAAGGTCATGCGATAATATTTCAAACAATAACATTTCATCAATGGATGGGTAACCGATACCTCTGCAGTACGAGATCCAGTCATTTTAAACAGTAAAGAATAATGTATTTATGTTATTCATTTCCAAACAGTATTTTATTATTCGTTTACCAACTTTCCGGCAAAGTTTGCATCTCCACAAAGACTTTTACAAAACAGTTTACTCTGTTCAATATTAGCTCATATATCAATGTTTTATCTGTAGTACTGTCCATTACTAATGTGTTATTTACATGACACAAAATATACTTTGTTGCCAGACTGACATTTCACTTAAAAAAGACTACCAATAGTCACTCAGATAATAGGGCATCACGAAAAAAACTACTGTGTACTGCACAAACCTGGTAAGCAATCACGGTATACAAACGGTTTGCATTGTATACATATTGATATGAAGATCTCTCATTATTTACAGGGTGTTTATGCAATTTCTGAACGTGTTTTGCTTGCAAACGTAATAACGCACGTTACATTTGTGTTGCAAGCAAACAATATCAACCTACTTTTAAATAATGTATAGACAGCCACAGAGGCAATTGTCATGATGCAAAGGTATTTTTTTGCATGATTGCGTTCCCAGCAAAACATGCAAACGTTGGGTCAAAGTTGGCATTTGGATGGAACTGGTGGACCAACATTGGCCCTACGTTCCATGTTTGCTGGGTATGGCCTGCGAGCGCTGCTAAAAGATGAACGCTGGCAAAGGGCTACTCACAGGCTTTCCAGGTTCGTCGTGCCATTCAGGATCGGCAGAAAGTCGACTTCAGCAGCCCCACGGAGCAATCTGACATTCGGAGACAAATTACCTTGAGCGTTGACTTTCTCGTGACCACTTATATTAGTTAACTGCGCGATTGCGAACCATGTACTCGAGAATAAATGTGCTCGAGAATAAATGTGCGTGCAGTAACTAAATAAATGGAATACCCTACATGAATGAATGAATGCATAAATAACAGAGCAAAATTTCTGAGAATGTAGACATTTAAATTGCGCCTGCATGTGTTTTTCTAAATGTGTTTATAGACATTTATAGTGGTGGTTAAACACAATTTATAGCAATATGTTTAAATAAATAGGTAAAATTTAGGGCTGTGATTGGGCTTATTGCCAGTGCAGCTCCCAAGCTTTGAAACGCTTCAGAATCGTTAGATATATGTAAGTCTGTCTTGAAAACCCACCTCTTTAAACTGGACGTTTACCCCCTAGTTCTGGCCGTTTACCCTGGTTCTGTTTATTTCCTGCTTTCCATACACAGGGCATTGGCATCTACGGAATGAAATACACCTTACAAACGTTTCAAAGCTTCCTCATCAGAGATAACCATTTTAAACTTCCCTGTTATTGGTGTTTCCTCACTGAGGGCTTCACTGCTGGGATGCACCCTGGTCAAAGCCGACACCACCCCACTTACCACATGGCATATAAAAACAAAACATCTAAGATTTTGTGGATGGGAAAAATGCAGCAACTCTTTAATACTTTTGCTATTGATAGATTAAATATGCATGTGCGTTTGACAAAACGTGAATGTGTTTGAATGTGTCGTACGACAAGGATATTTATTTTCACGAGTTGTTAAAAATGAGTTCCACGTTGTTGGACGTCAACAGTGCTTGTCTTACGTATAGACCAGTACCTGCCATGGTAATGTGGAATGTATACATTTGGCTTAGTGGTATTTGTGGAAACGGATGCTATGCCCTTGTTTGTTGGAGCAGGGAGCCACTCTGAATTGTGAATAACACAAAAACTGCTGATGCAGAACAGCTATATAGTCAAATGTATTCACGAAAGAAACCATTCATGTGGGCCTGTGGAATGCACCCAGTTTAAATTTGACAACTGCTCCAAAGCCTTTAATTCATCACATCTTCAGCAACCAATCACGTGGCAGCCACTTCATAGCAAATGCATCTGCATTCTAACTATTCAGATTATGCCCTGTCACGCTTTCTCACGCATGACAACAACTCCGGTTGTGCTTCCAGGAAGAATTAGCTGACTATTTGCTGATGCAGTGCTTCCTGGTGTTACCGCATCATTAGGGATGGACGTGCCTACAGCAGAGCCTGCAGCAGAGCTGTGCGGCCCGAGTGAGCAAGCTGGAATCTCAGTGGGCATTAGCCGTGCATGCCTCGATCTGCCAGCGGCGTGTATGCGGTGCAGGCGTGGTGCAGGTGTGGTGCACGTGTGGTGCCGGTGTGTGGTACACGTGTGGTACAGGTGTGGTACAAGTGTGTGGTGCAAGTGTGGTACAGGTGTGGTACAGGTGTGGTGTAGGTGTGGTACAGGTGTGGTGCAGGTGTGGTGCAGGTGTGGTGCATGTGTGGTGCATGTGTGGTGCAAGTGTGGTACAGGTGTGTGGTGCAAGTGTGGTACAGGTGTGGTGCAGGTGTGTGGTACAGGTGTGGTACAGGTGCGGTGTAGGTGTGGTGCACGTGTGGTGCAGGTGTGGTACAGGTGTGTGGTACAGGTGTGTGGTGCAGGTGTGGTACAGGTGTGTGGTGCATGTGTGGTGCATGTGTGGTGCAGGTGTGGTGCATGTGTGGTGCAATTGTGGTACAGGTGTGGTACAGGTGTGGCGCAAGTGTGGTGGAAGCGTATGCGTACTTTACTTGTCTCGAAAAACCACTCAGTGCCATATACTGTAATGAGCTGCTTTGTTTTAGATCATTCCATATTAATAACAAACCCAGGTAAATGTTCAGCCCTGCAATTGATTACTCATGCTAATGCTGGCAGAAGGGACTCCACTAAAAGGAGCTTTCGAGAGCCCCTATAGAGGCTATTTTGGCCTCCTCTTCCACAATGGTGAGATGATCTGGAAAGAGGTGGGAGTGTTAGCACTTCACCCACTACACGTGACCAGTGTCTAACTCTGGTTGAACCCATTTACACTGCTGGGTGGACAAATGTTGGAAGGGGAGATTTAAGAAACGTGCCCCATTGGTTCGCTCTGCCGTGCCAGCAGGTCGAACTGGCGACCTCTGCATTGCAGGTCCAGTCTGATAATTACCATCGTAACACGGCAACGTGTTTACCATTAAATAATAACCATACTAAAATCACTAAACATGTGTTTTAGAATGCTCCCGATTGAACCTCCCCCCCCACTCCCCATGAAACATCAGAAATAAAAATGTACGTTTTGTCATTAATAGCTCACTACTTGGCTTTCCAAAGAGGTTTACCATCTGCAGACTTGAGAGAGAGACATGTTTAGATGTACTGAATGCACACGCATGTAAATGTGTGTATGTTTAGTGGTTCGAGGGCTGCGCTACGAACCCGGTAACCCGAATTCGGTTACGAATATCTGAACTGGTTCTGGGCCTCCCCTAGGTCGAGTCAGCCTTAAATGAGTAACTGGTGTGGTGTGTTCAACATCGCCACTCGGGAGACAAAGACGGCCAGGCGTGGTGCTGGCTACCCACCCTCTCGTGTGACGTACCGGTTTTCATAGGTGCTCGCAAATGGCTCTTACCCCAAAAGTCCGTGAAGGCTATACGGGGGTCTTTGTATGTGTGTGTGTGTGGTGTGTGTGTGTGTGTACGTATGCAGCGTGGTTGTGAGACAGAATGGGAGCCCGTGTCTGCTGGCACACTGTGCCTCTCTGAGAGCACTTACAGAGTCTGCAGCTCCGCCAGGTTCTGGAACGCAGTCTTCCCCACAACTCGGATGGGATTGTCATAGAAATGGCTGTAAAAGTTAAAGTTTAGAAAGATATGTGAATTTGGAGCTTTCGTGACTGCAGGAATTATTCTTTGTTTTTTTTCGGTAAAGTCACGTAGAATTATAAAAATAACATAATAGTGTGCGACGTTTCGATTGCAACACAAGCAATCATCATCAAGTACAGAAGAGCTAAATTTACGAGAGAGAGGAGACACATAACCGCAGATATATGTACAGACACAGATACAACAGGGGATACAGAGAGAGAGAGAGAGACGTGGGAGCACACTAAATCAAACAGGTTTTAGCAAGATTTGGAAACTATATAACGCAACACAGACGGTCGGTCAAAACACAATTAACGCAAGGTCAGGTTGATTACGTTATTTCAAAGGTTGCTAAATTGTAAGTTAAGTGTGAAATTTAAAATCTAAAAAATATACAGACCGCATACACATATATAGACTTGAGAGAGAGACACGTGACTTTACCGAAAAAAACAAAGAATAATTTAGAAAGATATATCTATATTTTTGACATTGCGCAAGACTACAACCAAAATACATTTCTCAATTTTCTCATAAAATTCAAGCTTTTTTCATTTAAAATGAAAAACATGTTAAAAGTGATTTGTGCGAGCACTTGAAACTTTTCAGAATATTAGATAGACCATAACACATTGTCCCATATGAACAGTGGGGTAGTATTTTATACAGAAAAATGGAACAGATCTGCCTGCCATATTTAATACGGTTCATACATCACCATGGCACGCATTAGGTATGTTCAATATATGAGAACAGGTAAAATTTCACAGCCAACAACAATTCAAAGATCAAATATTAAACTGTAAAACAAAATCCACAGTGCGCCTATTAATTCTCTGATATAAGATGACTGCATGAAGCGAAAGCTTAAAGTAAAGTATTACGTTTCTTTCAAGAACATTCACACTCTAAATGTACCAATCAGTGTAATTCTGCAAAACCCATAGCAGAACAATATTGCACTACTGCGTAGGATGCCACAGTTCTGCGGCGTGCTGTCCGGGACGATGTCCGACGTTTTGCTCAACATGCTCGGAGAAGAAGAAGCTTCCAGCACATGGAGTGAAACGTCGGGTGTCGTGCCAAAAAAGACGTGGCGCAATCCGAACACGCGCCGGACAGTGACTACAACATCACGCGTGGACACTTAGACCAATCACGATGCTTTGTTTTTTTTTTTGTGTGTGTGTAGTGTAGTGTGTAGTGTGTAGTGTCCTTAACCATGAATAGACAGCGCCATGAATTGAACTGGGAAATGTGTGCAAAGTAGCTTCTTGCCGAGTCTGCTGACCACCGTGTCCCGTGCCAGAGTAACGCTGCCCCTGTATAGCGGGTGCACGTGAGTCTGCGTATGTTGTGAGTGCTCGCAGGGCGAGGCAGGCGCGTACGCACATGGTTTTGAGGAGCGGGTTGCTCCGAAATGCATGCTCAGGAATCATCTCGATTCTGTTGCTGTGAAATGCTCTGAAAAAAACAACACAACAGAATGATTTTCAATGCTGGCAACAAGCCTCTGTAAAGTCACGCGATGTGACAAGTCAAGCAATGATGACTTAATAATTGCATGTTATTGAAAGGGAAGAAGTGTCTACATTGAGATTAATTAGGAAAATACTCAGAGGCCAGTGGTTGAAATTTCAACTTGTGCGCCAACTGGCTCAGTAGGGAACCAGCCTTCTGACCACTTATTTGTCCTATCTGATTGGCCGAGTTCAGATAACCTCTTAATCACAAGGTGAATAAACAAACCTGTTAGCTTTTTAACTTTGACGAACATGATTTTCGTTTTTTTTAAGTACCAGCTTAAGATCGGTATCAGTTAACACGTGGATTCAATGATTGATTCTGACAAATTCTGTTAATTAAATGTGCTTACGTAGAAAAACGCGCATTTTCAGCTAATTTAATCTGACACTATATATTTTTTATGGCACATTAAACACTCTAAATGCAGTGTTGTGCTATAGTTCAGATGATGAATATATAACTTGAGAAAATCGGAAAGTCCTATAATAATACGTCTTACAAATATATCACTTGATCTCTCTGTAACAACAAATGACTGCTGTGCTGGGCTTCACGATTAAATCATGTGATACAGATGTTCCATGCGACACACATTGAAATCCTCCAGTCGGTAACACTAAAAATGGGGAGGAATTATCATTATACATGCAAGCATTGTTACAGTGGATACAGCACTGCACAATTAGTCCAGTCACCTGAGTTAAATGCCTGGCCATGGCTAGCATCAGCTCGTGAGCGATATTTGAACCGGTTCTGGGATTTCCCCAAGACTAATGTATCCTCGGTTGACTGCCTGGTGTGGTGTGTAAACAGTGGCACTAAGGGAGACAATGGTGAGTGGGCATGGTGCTGGCTTACAACCCCCTCGTTTGCAGCGCTGACCTGAAAATGTTCTGGTTAAAAGCACTAGCTCCAGCAGGCTATGTGTGTGTGTAGTAACCATATAAATAAATTACATCAAACAACACAGTATTTCTTTTACAACATTACTTAATTAACACATTCACCACTTTGTGTTTTTACTTTGAGCAACAACTTTGTTTCTGTGATATTTTTTTACACGAGCGTGGCGCGTTTAAGTCTTTTTTTCTCTCGTATACTTACAGCTCCCTAAGGTTAGGCAGGTCTTTGATGGCCTTTGGGAACTGAGAGAGCTGATTGTAGTTAAGATCCCTGTGAAAACAGTAAGCCCACACGTGCACACCTCCATCAGATCCTGTAATAACTTCGGGGAACGTGTGTTTGTACAGCGGGGGCAACGGGGGGTGGGTGGGGGGCTTACGTCGTTTGGACAGGATGGGCTTACTGCAAAGCCGTCCATTCAGGTGCAGAAAGAGGAAATATGTGCTGGCAATATTTATATTGCCTAGGGTTGTGGGGACAATGGGGCGCGCTTCACGGGAATCTTGGTGCTGACCTTCACGCTGTCACAAGGTGGCTTGAGATTGCCAGAAGTGGCTCAACGGAAGATCTCTTTAAAGAGTCTAAACTCTGCACCTAAAGAATCACGCTATTGAGCAAAGCAGAGTAAAGCCACCTCTGTCACCGATCACAATCCACGCGGGAAACTCGCGCGTGCACGCGGGAGGTGGTGGCGACGATAAACCGTTGTTAAAGAGGTCCTTGACGCGCTCTCAAACAGTAAAAGGTAAAGGCGCAGCCCCGTAATTGGTCGCACACGCCACTCCACACACCTACAATTTGCGCGGTTGACTCCGTACGGCGTGAAAGAAGTCCACGATATTAACGGTGTTTGGCTGACTCTTCAACGTTCGTCAGACGCCTGGGAAGAGGTGGGAGTCCTCACGCTTTACCCCAACCACAGCTTGCGATCCGCAGATCGACTAACTGTGGTGAACCCATCTAGAAATGTGTTGGATGGACAGAGGCAGTGAAGATCTAATAAACCTGCACTCGTTGTTTCGACAAACGCCGCGCCGGGAGATGGAATAGAACCGGCGACCTCTGGATTGCAATCCAGCGGTCGCCAACGATTACACCACAGCAGCGTCTATTTACACAAAAATGGCACGGGAATTTTCTCTCTTCTGGTATTTTGCAAATTATTTCATTATAAAAACATTAACGAATAGAAATAATGCTGAGGATGTTTTTAAAACATCATTGATATTGTTGATAAATACTTTGAATAAACTGTGTCGATGGCCACTATCAACAAAGCAAGCACAGCATACACATTTTGTTGGCATCAACTATTGATACTTAATAGTAATCAGACTAAAAAACATCATCCCTGGATAAATATTTAATTGTTGTTTCAAACAAATGTTTCCATTTCTTTGGAAGTTTGCTTTTAAGTGTAAAAAAACCAAGATCTGCTCCTAGATTTTCAAATATAAACTAGAAGTTAAGAAAACCTGCTGTTAAAAACATGGCTGTGTTGATACCATTGGGGAAAACGGGTTTCTCCAAACATAAAGGAAACAACTGATAACACACACAAACGTAACCTCATGTCCTCTTGTGTTAACTTATCCTCTATACCACACCATAATCGAGATGTGAACTACCTCGCCTGGTGTGCACGAGTTTGTGCGTTCGATCTCAACCCTGACGCCTGTTGTATATTTGGAATTTGCATGTCTCTTTCTCCCTGTGGTTGTGTGGATTTTCTCCGGGTCCTTCGTGTTTTCCCCTCCACATTGAAAACATGCGTTGAGAGTATTTGGATGCTAGAAACCTCCGCGTGATAAGCCACTTCGTTGAGCTATAATTTGTGATTTAAAGCTTTCGTGACTGCAGTAATTCATATTCTTAGTTCTTTCGGTAAAGTCACGTTGAAGGGAAACAACAAAATAATAATATATATATAAAACAATAAAAATGTTCACGACGTTTCGACCATAACACAAACCGACACACCTGAAGACGACCGTTTGTGTTATGGTCGAAACGTCGTGAGAATTTTTATTGTTTTATATATATTTTATTATTTTGTTGTTTCCCTTCAACGTGACCTTACCGAAAAAACTAAGGATATACTATAATTTGTGGTCAGGTCGCTTCTCTACAGGCCTAACTCACCCAATGCCTACGCCTCTCAACAGTCAATTCCCTTGCTAGTGGCAGGCGAGACCTTTTCCGTTTCTGCAGAAAAGTTCATTAATCTACAATACTGGCAGAGAGATTGGTCTGGAATCCATAAATCGTTTGGAAAACAAGTTTGGTCATTTGGATGGTATATTTTCCCTATTTTTCAATGTTAGCCATTGTTAGTTTTACCAAACAGATCATTGATCATCATAACATCTCATCACTGCTGTGTGATGTCACACAACTTCGCCTCACAAAGACAAAGGTCCTCCGAAGAGCCTTTTTAATAGGCTGTCGGGGCAAGTATTGTTAGCAAGCAACTATGAAGGCTGGCACCTTGGACACGAGACGGTGGGAGGCCAACACCACGCCCGGCAGCATTTAGCCGCCTTTGTCTCCCGAGCGGTGATGTTTACACACGGGATCAGGTACTCATTGAAGGTTAAGTTAAATCTATGTGAGGCCCAAGACTGGTTAAAATATACAACACTGTTATTGATCTTGTAGGGGAATTGAACTCTGGTCCCCGGATATGGAGCAGTAGTACAATGCGCTCATCCCACCATCACCTCCTCCTTCCAACAGACAGATCGTGGCTCTTTTTGAGATTTCAATTCTGCTGAAGCATTTTCACTCTCAAGAGACCGTGCTTGTTTTTACAGACTGACCCTCTTTTTGTAGCGAGTCGGGGCGTTGAGATGGCTCGCCTTACCAGACGTTTTACACCTGTGTAGTACCCTATACAGGTGTATCCCGAAACGAACTGCTGTAAGTCGGGTCAGCACTGAGCATGGTTTCAGTTTCATTTATTTGGTATAGCCCTGTGAGCCATTCGGCTCTTGAATCGGGTGCAACCGCAACAATCAAAAACATGAACAAGAAAACATCTTAAAGTGACTATGCGCAAACAGAAAAATCCAGGAAAAAATAGCAAAGTCTTCCAGCATGGTAAGGAATGGTAAGGAAAGGGCCTGGATATAGGCACCAGCTAATCAGAAGGCGAACCCAGTCCAATCGGAGACGCTGATTATATTACTAATCAACGCTTCGCACGAGTTTTCAACGTTGTGATCAACTCTGGCTTAGAATGCACGTGCTCTACACAATAAAAAAAGAGCATGCTTTGCAGACGTTCGGAGTGGCAGACGATTGGAGACGTCCGAGTGACAGTAAGAGAGCCATGAGTGGGAAACCGTTTTCTTGCTCGTGTCGTTGGGAAAGATTCCGCTGGTGTTAGAATTGGCAGTGATTGTGCGAACACTAGAGATAGCAGTGATTGCGTTGATGGTGAAGTTCCCCTTTCAACAAGCTGCGTAGCCCACTTTATTAATGTCCTCGTTAACGGTTAGTGCACCTCTCGTTAAGCCAGCACAACAACGAGTTTCTTCCGCGTCGAGAGTTCTGCGCAGAGTTCTCCCGAGCACGGTTGACTACGTGGGGTGCGAAAGAAGTTTAACATCGTACATGCCACCTGCCATCAGTGCTCGACACTCGAACGGTCCGTACTCACGGCGCACAGCTCCAACGAAGGCACGCGTGCCCACAGGACGCACAGACGTTTGCCGCTCGTGGATGTCCGTCGTGTGACTCTGAATGCACCGATATCACCCTGGTGGTGTCGGTGCGACGGCGCGTGCGTGGTGTCATCAGGCAGGTGCAACGTCTCCCCAAGATTCACCTTTACCCCTGGCTACCAGGCGTGAGAGATGTACGAAAGCAACGAAGGATTGTAAATATTTTATGTTTATTTAAGGGTGACTTTAAAGCTAATGGAGGGGGGGGGGGAACCTGTAGATCACTCACATTTACATCTTACAGGGTAATTTTTTTTTAATTAATGTTGAGATTTAAAGCAATATTAACAAATAGCATTTATTTCTTTAAATTCGCATTATGGATGTGCATTAGAGGGGAGGTGGTGGCGCAATGGTTAATGTACCATGATAACCATCACGTGACATTGAGGTTTTTTTTTTTCTCTGGATTACGGCTCACATCAGTAGCGAGTGATATCTGAACTGTCCCCCCCCCCAATCCCCCAACTTCACGAACCCACACGAAGCAGGGTGGTGAAGTATGGTCAAACCACTCACATTGCCTGAATTGTCAAGGCGAGGCCTCCATCTTCCAGTTGATTCATAAATGTCTGTATAATATTATTTTTAGTGTCGAGAGATCCAGTAACCAGTTAAATGCTAAATAGTGCCAAGATTGCTCGTGGAAAATAACTGTAAACGTATCTTTGTCCGTAGTCGCCCAACAAGGCGCTTTTAAAATATTTACATTTGTGATTTTTTTTTACTTCATTGCTTATAACATTTCAAATTTTTTTCAATGCACTGGCCAAATTAAATTAAGTGCATTATATTCCAACAAAGTTAATTTAGCGGATGTGATACAAAAGAACTCGTAATATTGGCTAAATCCAATTAAGATGTGGCTATACAAATAAAATAAAGCCAAGTTTATCGAACGATATTATGTGGTGTGTATACTTATATGTGCGGAAAGCTCTTTGTAGTCATTACAGAAAGAGAACATCAAAATTGTAAAGGCAATACTGTTTTGAACATCCCACACCCTTTCAAAAAAAAAAGTGAAAGTATTTCTGTGTTTGTTGTGTGCATAGCGGAGATGAAATCGAGCAAGCATTCCAGAATCTCTGTATATCCCTCCCCTGGCTGATTTGCTTTTGTTTTGATGAAGCGAATGCTATTGAAAGGACACAGAACAAATATCTTCACATGCCTCAGCTTCAAGCATTTTAAACCAAACTGCTCGCAGCTAAATTTAAACTCTTCCTCAATGGTTTTCGGTCAACGTTTAGGCTGCTCAGACTCCTTGGTTCTTTGATCTGTCTATAGTTGCTCTTCCACGTTCAAAACTTCAAAGCGATGAATAAATAATGCATTGTTGTTTACATGGCGTGTGCAAAGTTAGTTTTATTCTGTTGGGTTAAGGTTTTGCTGCCCGCTATCGTGCATGAATAATTTAGTTAGTAACATTATTCCTGAAGTTGTTGTGACTTACGAGCCCTATTTAATGTTCGTGTGTGTGTGTGTGTGTACGCACGTCTTCCCAGTACAGCCTCAACCGGCTCTCAGTCACACCGCGATTGT